TATAAAACTATTATTTATACGTCAATGTTGCCAAAGTTCTTACGGACTGCGAAACATTACGTTAGCAGCATCATTTCTCTCCCTCCATTCGGACATTTGGCCGATATGCTAATGGAGCCTTATTATTATGCGAAAGGATAAATGTCCGCGCGTCTTTATCCTATTCTTTAAAAGGCGCAACATAATATATCCCATGTCGGTAAACTCACTTTCGTTGACAGAGGTTCGACAAGACGAACGGGCCCCGTATTAATATTTGTATTGCCTTGGTCCTTGATCCGCTAATTTTTCATTCTCGTATTTAATTCGTGTCCCCACTGTCTCTTGGACATATATTGTATATCGAGAATCATTGTGCTTGTCTCCTAATTAAAATCGCCGACTCTGAATTTACTGCGAGACGAGCTACTATTCAAATTGGTTTTAATTATAAAAAAAAAAAAAAAAAAAAAAAAAAAAAAAAAATCCATAGCCCGATTCTTCGATCCTATGACGAATCTACTTCTAAATAACAAAGTCCATGCACAAAAACCTTGGTTTCGTTTTATCATCGCACTGTATTTATTTTACGCCATCTTGTCTGTCTCGCGATAATCCGCAAAAACAAATTTAACGTTCCTCTGAAATTTCTATAAATTGTATAAAAAAAAAAAAATTTTTTTTTTTTTAAATAATAATAATAATAATTGGAACGGACTGTGGCTATTCGTCTGGTTGCGCACTCGTATGGTCGGTTCGGATCTCGACAGTGTCCAACTTTGCTGCTCACATTCCCAGATTCCAACTTTAAAGTCATTGTCGTTGGAAAAATCTGTCAATGTACATTATGTATGTAATGTATGTAATGTATGTATGCAGGGCTCCGAAAATTTCACAAACCCGGCGAATAATTTTCTCAGCCGACCCGAATTATAGCGAGCACTATCGCTATAATGAAACTTCACGAACATCCAAAATAGCTCCCTCCATACTTCAGGAAAGTCTCCTTATTGTCTCTCATACATGTGTACTTTCTAGGACAACGAAATCGACTCGGTCGACCCTCGATTGACGAAGGAAGTTCGAATTCGAGTGCCAACGGTCTGTGATGCCAGGCACGGACAAGGCGAATTTGTGATAATGGCGAAGAAACGACTAGGAGATCTCGCGCTATCTTGCGCTCCAAGATTGGAGGAGTGGGCAGAGGCCGTTCGAGAAATGGAGAGCGCACCATGCGTACTGAGGAGTTAGCAGAGGAAAATAGGGAACCGGCAGTCGTCGGAGCTCCTCAATAGCCCGCGAAACTCCCTAATATTAACACGAAGATTATTTACGAACGCGTAGTTGTGTGTAATTGGTACGTCTCTGGCGCTTTAATATGTAATTATTATTACGTAATTTCTAAATTTGCTCGTGGATTTGTGTGTTTGAAAAATTATTGGGCTTCGTGCCGTTTGGATGATGTCGCTGGAGCGAGATAATTCCATAAATAAATAAATAAATAAATAAATAAATAAATAAATTCGAATATATTTGGGACGAAAGCCAATTGAAAAAATTGTGATAAATTTAGAATTTATACGTAATAAGCTGTAAAATCAGGAAAACAAGCGCATTGTTATTGTTAGTTATTCATTCAATGGGTTATTATTATGATAGTCCGACAACGTCAAGTTACAGAATAACGTGGAAAAATCGTCGATTCGTCTCGGACAATTACTGCAATGGCTTTCCTTTCGATCGATCGATCGATCGATCGATCGAGCATTTATGTACTGTACAAAAAGCCTGTAAATAGCTGCGCGCACGCACACGCACACACATGTGTGTGTGTGCGTGTGCTGCAGCTTGTATATATTGGATGTACTTCGAAAATAAGACATCGATCTCCGAACTGTGATATTATTGTATTATGAGAGATTTTAATAAAAACGGATTTATTGTCGTTTATGAATGAAATATTATATACAATCAATATCAACGTGTTTTTTAGATTTTAGTTTATGGATCTTGTAGATCCATTGGGATGTGATGAAACTGATTGTACGGTTTACAGAAATTTTCTATAAAAGAAATGTATTTAAGTAATAAATGATGATTTTGTAGAAAAAAAAACAATTGTGTATTTTTATTTAAAGTAAGGAGGTCTTAATTACCTAAATGGTGGCTATGGTAGCTGAACATTTGAAGAGGAAGAAATTGTTATTAAAAATTCTTTATTCATCAATGCATCGATGTAATTCGTATGTCTTCACATTTATATAGGAGCGAGAAAGAAAACTAATTGTTATAATCAATAATATTAGAGCTTGTTATGTGAATGTCTTTACTTTGTGTCGGTTGTTTTTAACCTTTTTACATAAAAATTTGTCATATCAATAAACACTGGAATGCATCTGAGATGGATAAAGAACTTATTTTTTTATGACAATCGGCAAGACAATGCTTTATGTTTTGTCAATTTATAACTTTTCTAAGTGATTGAAACAAATAACAAATATGGAGCGCTGTTTTACTATTATCTAGGCAGTGAATTTGAATAAACGAATTGTGGGTTGAAAAAGAACTTTATTTTAAAATATATTAATTATATAAAAGTATGTTTGAAATTACTTGTGAAATATCTATGTCTTGCAATAAACTTTTTAATGAATATATTTGCATGAATGCATTTTTAAATGGGAAATAAAAATTATGACATTCGATACGTAAAAGTTTAGTGTTAAATATATATTTAAATATATAAAAATACTTTATTAAAAAATAGAAACGGATAAAAAACAATATTACATTTTTATTACTTTCTTTTCTCAACAAATATATAATATATACCTTATTTTATTTCTTTCCTTCATTTTTTTATTTTTTATTTTTTATTTTTTTTTTTTTATATAACAAATACATGAAAAATACGCAAGATGAGTTGATGTGTAATAATTGCATGTCAGTAAAAAAAACAACAAGTCTTAGTTTCTATACTTTGGCGTAATGTTGTATTTGCAATGAATTTTAAAGATCTTACAACTCGATTCGATATAGACAATCTTTGCATTTTTATCTTCGTTTTCATTGTAACGATATTCATACTTTGCTTGCACTATCCCTTGCCAAATGTGTTATTAATAAAATATTTTGAATATTGCCATTATTAGACTTAAAAATTAAAATTTATTTATTGAATTACAATAATAATAATTTTAATAAATGAGCAAATAAATGTAATGGAAAGCACGCAAATCATCTTATATTTTCATATTTTAATTTCGGCACTCGTCTATTGGTCCATGATCGCAATATAATTTATGATAAATTCCAATTACTGAGCATTAAAACGGTAATAAACAATGTAACTAATAACAATATGCTCTCAAGCAATTTTAAACAAATAATAAAAATGTTTTACAGCATTAAAAATTAAATTACAATTATGTACAAATTACTATTAGAATTGAATATAACAATGTAAAATAAATAAATTTTCTCTTTTCATGAATATATTATTATTATTATTATTATTATTATTATTATTATTATTATTATTATTATTATTATTACTACTACTACTACTACTACTATTATTATTATTATTATTATTATTATTATTTAATGATGATTGTCAATATTATGAAGCAAATGACAATGACAAAAATGTAAAAAGATTGCACGGTAATAATTACTTATTGCGAAGTAACTTTTCGTAAATTATTGCGAGACGGTTGCAATTGTCACAACGGCACGCACAAACGGAAGCTTCAGATGCCATTCGATGAGTGGTTTGCTACTGTTAACTTATTTATGAATTGTAAGGATAATTTGGGCACAGTGGAATTATAAGATCGTCCATGTTTGGAATGACTACAACCTTTTCAAATTCTCTCAATAACTTCGTTTCAATCCACTTTGTTACGTACACAATGTTTACAGCTCGTTCTCCAACTGCAGGTTTGGCCGTTAAACAAATCTTTGGAATGGGTTTGAAACCGTACCAAAGCCTGTCCGAGGGTGATGGAGGTATATTGACCAGTAAGCGTCCCTCTATACTGGATATACTAACCATCAATCTGATTTCAGTATTTGAAACTCCCTCCATTGCTCTTTTAATGTATGACAATTCAGTAGCCTAAAGTAATTTGATTGAAAAATGTTATATTTTTTAAAATAAGCTTTTAACTGCATGTAGGATGTTTCTTGCGATTGTTAGGTCAATTTTAAAGCTGATGTATGAAATTGTTGGAAGAAAGAAAAAGAGAAAAAATCGTCTTATTTAAAGTACAGGTGAAATATAGAGAACTTTCGAAATACTTACGTGCTGAAAGTATTTGTTAGATGCTAGTTTATCAACCATATTAAGAAACTTCCATCCGGACGATTGATTTGGTCTGAAAAATAATTTTCATCATAACTCATATTGATAATGTGAGGGTATATATATGCGAGGGTATTCCTTAGGCAATAATTACGAAGCTTACGTGTTTTCTCGAGATGAAGTAGTTGTTGCCAACGAAACGCCATCCTCGTCCTCTGTGGACGTTTCTGGACTATCTTCCATATCGCTATCAAACATCGGAGATCTAGTTGACTGCATCCTATCAGCTCCTATAATGTCATTTGAATTTGATGATATTAAGCTCGTCCTCTTTAATTTCATTAGATTTAATTTTGTTTCTATGGTCATGGTTAGACTCCCTTCGTAAACAATATCTAAGTCAAACCACAGTCCACGCTCGTCGACAAAGGGTTTCGTTGTATTATTTATTATTGGCGCGCCTTGGCCTATCACTAATTCAGATACGAGCAAACTTTCCATAAAATATGGAAGCTTTATATTAGAAAGCTTTCGTTGTATTTTATCTTGAATTACGTTAATGGTATCCGAACTCTTGTGCATATCAAAAAGTATCCTAGCGAGCAATGCATTTATCCATAGATTAACATTATTATCTGAAGATCCATTGGTAGCTTCGTCCTTAAGTGTAGAAGGTGCCTAAAATGTCATTAAAAATATTAAACGTTTCATCGAGCTTTTCACTGCTTTTCAACGATCGAAAGATTTATAAAACTTTGGACAACTTTACCTCCGAATATCGACTCATGTACGCTTGATAGGATAATATGGAAGGCATTTCAACGGATGCAATGGACGGTGTTATTGGTTTTGATTCAAGATTAATCGACGATAAGGAACTTCCTAAAATTGTTTCATCTTTTGATGTGGAATTCGAGCTTTTTCTGTCACTATATTCCGACGCAGAAACTAAGCGTCTAAACCTGAAAACAAGACACTTCTTCTATGACTCCTTGAACTAATATTTAATTATCGTTAATTTTATATTTAAGTATGAAAATATATACCACTCTTCTTTTTGTCGATCTGTTCTAGCAAAAACATACAATTTTACTTTCATATCCTCGCTTTCGTAATCATCCTGGCAATCTTCAAAAATATCTTTAGAATCTTTGGATTGAGAATGTTCGTCATCGGTTTCTTCTTCTTCCAAAATCATTTTATCTGCTTCCATATCAATTTGTTGAGGTTCGTCATCGGAAGAATTTTCAATTACGGTAATATCATTCAAAGTATCTTTCTCTAATGTAATGCATATTGGATACTTTTTACTCCATCGTCTGCAATAATTAACCATTTTTTATGTAAGAATACCTGCTTGTATTGAAAGTGATGATAGTTGTGACGAATAATATTTACAACTAATATCTTCAGATCGTTTATTATGAACGGATATTATAAAAAAAATAATACAACGGTAACAATTTTCTACCGAATATTTATTATCATTGATAAAATTAGTATGTTTATGAAGGACTATTTTTAATGTTAAATTGTAATTTGATACTTATTTGCATTGAAAAATTATTACATTGCACAAGAAAATGTTAAGGCCATTTTAAGAGAGAAGCTAGCTTTTTATTTTACTTTTTATTTTAAGTTTTATCTATATAAGCAATTTATAAATCCTAATTTATGAATAAAAATACAAAATTTACTATTTAATTATTTCAAAACTTTTATAGATGTACATTGTGCATTCATCCTTTATATGGATGAAAAATTTGTTTTTGTCCTTAAAGTGCTAATACAATTTACAACGTTTACAACATTGTCAAACTGAAAATGTTTAGTTACAACGATATATTTAAGCTAAGCCATGGTGCGTAAAAATTTATAGTTAGTAGATAATGGTAAGGTTGATTATAACGTTATGTAGGATACCAAAATGTTACCTTAGTCGAATAAGACCAGACGGAAGCAAATCAATTTTTGCACCAGCCAAAGAATATTTCCTTTTTTTGGTGAATTTGGGCTTGTGCATTGGTTCATCCCAAACAGCTCTTTTAGGAATTCTAGTTCTCGTTTCCATAATTTGAAGGGCATCCCCTTGTAATTTAAAAAATACTGGCTTTGTACGAGCCACATGATAATTATCAGGATTATAATTGTATGGTAGTTCGTTTAACCATCCTTCAAATTTTTCTACACAAGCGTGTTCCACTACTGGAATTTCTAAAACAGGCGCTACAAACTTTACTGGGAGAGTTAACATTTGATTAAAAATTTTATAAATCCTTTGAACCAAAATTGAAATGAAAACACCAGCCAAGACACCCATAAAGTATTTTGGTAGTGGAATAAAGTAACAACAGCAGATTGTAATTATCAATATTAGCATTTGATGATATATTCTATTTTTCAATTGTATACGTAAGTAGTCAGATTCCGTTAAAATTAAATTTGATGATTTAAAAGTCTCTGGCAAAAATGATTTTATATTTTCTTTAAGCCTAGTTAAAACATTTGTATTAATATGTGGACTCTTTTCGATTTCCATATACGAACTAGCCTCTTCGTTAGGACCATTGTAGGTCAATTCTGATGCCTCGATACCACTTTCAACACTATCGTCCTCTAATTTTTTTGCTTTTAAACCAGTTTTGATGTAAGAAAATCCTACGAATCTAGATGAATTTGCTCTTTTCCTTAAAACAGGAGAATCTTTATCTTGTTTATCCGAGTTGGTTTCTTCGGTCGGCGTTATATCACCAAAGTCTTCGTAATCACTAACGCAATAATTGTCCATACTTCTATTATGTTTTGATTTTTTTCTCTCGCTCTTCATTTCACATAATCTTTCCTCAAAGGTTTTTGTAATTTTGCCTTTAATGTTCGATAATACTTTCCACGGATCAGACGATGGTATTCCTTCCGATGAATTTTCATCCAAACTCACTGACTGTCTGTCAAAACAATCATCAAAGTTACTTCCTTCGTTAGTAATGCTGATACAACTTTTTTTAGGACTATGTTTTGGGGAAGCCCTTTCAGAATCCGGAATCAAGGGTTTCTCATCGTCTGTATTTGGATAAAGTTCCTCCAATTCGTCGTCGCTGGCATGATAGCGTATCACAGGTACCGACATTGCGTGTGATTTCCCTATTGGAATATAAAAATAAAATTATATTAGATTGATTCGATGTATTTTACTTCTAGTACCGTTACTACTGCTACTACCGTTACTACAACTTGTACTATCGCTGCTAATACTACTATAACCACTAAATAACAATACAATTTCCCAATTTTGAAACAATGCTTTAATTTATCTAAATTTTATCGATGTTTTTACAATGGAAGATCGATTGTCGTTAAGAAGGATATTTTGCTTAAGAATACAGTGCTTTTGACATTTAATGTTATAATAAGAACAGCCTTAACTCGTTAAACAGTCGGATAACGTCGATCTGCAATCCATATCGGAATCCAGACTTATTTCACCAAACGGCAATGCCATCAAAGCAGCATTCCTCTCAAATTCCCAGCATAGTAAACTTAAAATAATAACACACTGGATTCTCCAAATTATTTATAAATCAAGAATTCAAACCTAAAACGACCAACCTACGACAACAATTAACGCCATGGAATTTTGAATATTCACAACGGTAACCGCCAACAACAACACAAAACTCCTGCGCACCCACATCCCCATCGTAATTATAACAAATATAAAGATAACCTTGAAGTTATAAAATACTGGCTATCAATATCGAATCGGTGTAAGGCACTCGTTGTCGGAACATCTCCTCGGCCCGGCCATCGACTTCTCCACTTACCTTTCGTCATATTTAAGCTGATCTTCGAAGGACTGTGCTTGGAGCTCATATCGTTCGCAAAACGTCTTATTTGCGCGAGCTCGTTAATCCATCAACGATGAGTCAATGTTAACATTTCCCACGGCCAGCCAAGCGGCGCTAAATAGCATTGTCACGCGCCCAAGTGCATCTCTACGTTTTGGCTAATGGCTCGCAGCTGGGCCATTGTCATTATTCGGACTCCAAATAACCGATTGACGTTTAGATACGTCGGGAGCGAGCCTCCGTCGCGACGAGTGACAAACAACCGCGCATACTTTTCCCATAAACGATGCTACGTGGACCGCGAGTCTATCGTCTCGCGTTGAGAAGCCACAAGAAGCCACCGCTCGCTCGTTATCCTTCGTCGTCGTCGTGGCGGAGATCGAGTTATTCGTTCGGAAGGGGGTGGATTGGGGGTTGATTGGGGCGGGTGGGGAAAGAGATTCGGCGGTTGGACAAAAGGCCGGAGGGCGGCGCTGCTAAACGTCTTTTACTTCGCGATGTCGCAATTATAAGAGAGAGAGAGAGAGAGAGAGAGAGAGAGAGAGAGAGATCGCGAAGAGAGCCAAAGGGCAAACTGCGGATGGGAGCGGATGCGCCTAAGACGCCTAAGATTAATTAAAGTCTTTGGGTTAAATAGCTTGCCGTATGAAATTGCCGATAAGATTTGCCGTGAGCGTACGATGGGGGAATGACGATCACCGGATGACGTACGATTCGTCGAAAGATTACCCCGAGGCTGGAAGAGAGCGTTGGTACTTGCGTGATCGCTCGGTCTCGATGTACCAATATTCTCTGGGCAACATTATTTTTGTTCTTTTCAAATCGCTCGATTTCGCGGAAGAAGAAAGCCAGGGACCGGGAAAAGGGAGTGACGCGCGTGGATCCCTAACTTGCTAATACTCCGGTGTCGTCAATAGAGAGAGAGAGAGAGAGAGAGAGAGAGAGAATGACTAATTTCTGTCGCAGTGAGTTTCTCATCGATATTAAAACAATAACAATAGCAATCGCATCTCTCGGTAATAATAAATAACAAAAGTTGTTTACCATTCGTTCCGGGAAGCGTTATTTTAAAAATTCATGCTGCGCCTTTACCCAGACCCCGTAATAAACAAACAAAAAAATCGAGCTACTCGACGTACGTAATGTATTATCGTTCGATTGAGGAGGAATCGCTCCTAAAAGAACAAGTTTGTTTTAGTAAAAAAAAAAAATAAATAAATAAAGAAGGAAAGAAAAAGAAAGAAATTAATAACGGTCAGTGAGAATATGAAGGCGAGTAATAATTGTAAATAACATTTACGCGCGATACTCGCCGATATTAGTGATCAGTTTCATCTGGCTTTATCCCTTTTCCTTGAATTTCAAAACGATCGGTATAAATCGAAAATGATCTTTGCAACGGTATTCTTTTCCTTACTATATCAAATTTCTGATGCAAATATTAATTTATTCAACTGCAATTCGTAATCATGTATTCGGTATTCGTATTACAGACATATGCTTACACATACGCGAGCGCGCGCGCACGCACATATGCTTTTGTTGAAATTAACTTGATCCCAAAGTCTTTTCCTTTTTTTTATATGCGACGCGTCATTGTAAGACTTGCGTTAATGTAATGGCGTCTAAATAATGTTTATACTAAATGTAATGTAACGAGTACGATGATAATAAATAGTAATTTATCAAAGTACAAAAACACATAAATAATAACAAAATCAATATAAAGTGCTAAATATTATTTTTAATGACTTCCTCTCGCTAACAACATAGGTCATAATCAAGAATATGATGGCGAACAATGAATTATTTGATTTCTTAAATATTGTCCAAACATTTTATTTTATTATTATTATTATATTATTATATTATTTAATTTATTGACAATGTTGTTAAATCAGATTCATTGTCAAGATAATTTCTGTTAGGCGATCCATTAATTGAGGTAAGACTACAAACCTCTCCTGATTCTATAAAACTTAAAGTACACAAAAAGAATAAGATTTACATTATTATTTGTCTTTGTTGCGTGTTATCTGTTACAATCATATTTTTTGTTATCGTAGTAAATTATTTAATGTTTTTTTTTTTTTTTTTTTTTTTTGACAGAGTTTAATCTTTAATATATTTACAATAGAAACGGATAGTTTTTATTTTACTAAGAATTTCACATGGAACAGTCCCGGTATTCATTAAATTTTTTTTTTATTAAAGAAACACAGCTTTTTTTTATTATTAATATTTCATCGCTGTATGTTTTATTGTCTTTTAGATAATTCTTTTTCAATTAAAAGAATATGTGTAATTTGATTTTATGCTATTCAATATTCAATTTCAATTTACCGTGAAACCATTTTTATGAATTTGTATTAGAAACACTTTTTTTTTTTTTTTTTTTTTTTTTTTAATATTGACTAATAAACAAGTTAATATTTCCTAATCACATAAATTGTCTTGCACTTTTATGAATGTAGAGTAACAAAAAGTGACTATATCTATAAATAAACATTGGATGTTTTTATAATATCGTGACTGTATACATAAATACAGAATAAAAAGTAAATGTATAAAATTATTATATTTTTAATTTAAATTGCTTTCTTAATATCTAATTGTTGGATTTGATTATAAGTTTGGAAAATAAGATTTTCATTTATTATTTTATTTTAAATCTGGCAAATTAAGCCTTTCATTTCATCAAAGGCATTATTTTGCTTATTTTCCATATATGATTGTATTTCATGCATAATTATGTTATTCAAAAGTTGTTCTGGATATATTATATTTTTTTGTACGAAAGGAAAAGCTTAAATTGCTTAGAAAAAATTATTAGTAAAAATACAGAATTATTATTCTTAAATCTTTCCAATGTGAGCTACTGCTGGCTGTCGAGACTATCTACATTAATTTTTTTGTTTTCACTTGAGAAAATTGGCACAAAGAACAATAAGAATGAATCGATAATTCAAGAATTCTATCTATTAAAAGAATTATTTTTATTTAGTTGCATTATGTATTTTAGCCATTTTGCCATATTATTTTATATTATTATATTATTACCATATTCTTTTTAACAAAGTGTAGCATTGTGTCTTAAAGTAATTTGCATAAACTTTTGTTATTTCCTGGTAATATTAAAATTCATTTCTATATTTAAAAAAATACTTCTTTTCTTATTAGAATAAATCACACTTATTAAAGTTAAAGAATTATAATCACATATTCGTTTTATCGACTACTTTATGTCATTCTAATAATTAAATGTTTGACGAATGACAATATACTTTAAGTGGATAATATTAAAAATATTTCATGAATATTCGGTAATAAATAATACTTATACACAATTAACGCTTGAATTTATATGAATTTATGAAAATTGTATATAATTGAGTTGATTATTTAATTATAATTATGATAATGCAATTTTTTAACAAAATTGCATAAACTAACTCATAATATTAATTGAATAAATTATTTTATTTCATATATAACTAAATGAAACTAAATAAAATATTCTAAGCATATTATACATAAGGCAATCAAATATTAAACAAGTTAAATAATAAGTTAATATAATTTTTTTTCAGTTATAAAAGAAAATAAATTTTGTTTCTATACATATTTACACGAACTATTTACATGTTTAATAATAATAGTATATATATATATATTTTTTTTTAACGTATGGTCATTATATTCTTAGTGTTACGTACAAAATTATAGTTATTTTCAATACTTCGCCGAAGCGTAGACCTAACGTTAATCTAACGAATATTATTATATTTAAATAACAACAATGGTCTTACTAACAACTAATAATTGCAGTATTCGTGGTGACGTGGACTGCGTGTAATTAAATAGTTAGCTGCATAAATACTTAAATTTACTTGTTGCACTTTAAAATTCGATCTTTACGTAAATTTGAATATTTCTTATTGATTATATATGCATACGTAAATATGTACTTAAAGTACGTAAAGTCATTATTTTAAATTAAGTTTTTAAATATTACCAATTTTAAATAATAGCTGCATTTTTACAGATTTTAATTAGTCATATTAGTTATAATATAATAGGTTTAATAGTTATAGTAATATATAATTTTGTTGGTATAAAGGAAACATAATTGAATAATGTTATCAACGTATAATTAACATCGTAACAAATATTAGACTATTATTACTTAATTCCATTGCAGAAATAATAATAATATTAAGCACCTTGATGTAGATTAAGTTTTGTGTTTTGACTTGAGAGAGAGAGAGAGAGAGAGAGAGAGAGATAGAGAGGGAGAGAGAGCGAGAGAGAGAATAATATGAATTATAACTTTGATATATTAGGACTGGAAATATTAGGGTCGCGTTAAAACTTGTGAAATTTCATTTTATAAAATGTATATCTTATCGGCGTTAAATTTGTTTTCTGTTATAAGAAAAGTACAATATTAATTCATAGCTATTATATTACCCAGCTTGTTCTGACAAATTATTAAGTTACACATGTGGCGTTAATGTCTGAAACCCCACTTCCTTAAATTTATACTTAATCTTAAATTATTTTCAAAAGTTCATGCTAGTAATGCCTGGAACTTTTGAGTAGATTGATTTAATCTTATAATAACAAAGTCATAATCTCTTATTTATTATCTAACACCATTCACCTAACAATAAATTATTTAGATTCATCGAAGATAAATATTTTAAATTTTAGAATTTAATATAACATTCTGTTATCAATTGTCTATCAAATTTCTCTCTACTGTATCAGTTTTTAATATTACAAGTTCATTATTTATGTTTTAAATAAATTTTGATATGCTGAGAAAAATTGAAATACGAAAATAAATTATGTATGCGTATGTTGTTAAATAAATAAGTTTTCTAGGAATAAAAATTATTAGCCACCATATAATGGAAATGTTGTTGTTTTTTTTTTTTATATGTAAGAGATAAAATGTCACATATGTATAGCGTTAAAAAAATTTTCTCAAGGTATATAGAAAAATTAATATTTAAAATTTAATATTAAAATGGACAAAATTAATTCTATTAATAATTAAAATTAAATTCCTATAGAATAATAATGTAGTTGGAAATATGTTGATATAATACTTTACCTTATGACTGGTTGACGTCTTTATTTTTTTTTCATTTTATCATAAAATTTTTTTATGAAACAGTAATAATTAATTTATCTTTAAAATGGCCATTATTTTTAGTTACTAATTAACATAATTAATTATTACTGAGATTAATCAAAGAAACGTATAAACAATATCGCCATGTAGGTTGCTTGAGAATAAAATAAAATTAAAATATCATTCTAATTACAAAAA